AGAATTTTCTCTGTAACTTAATCCCTGCTATTGGCAACGTTAAGAACAGTCATTGAAGAAGTTGCCTTCAATTTTTTCCATGAGAAATGTGACTGCCCTAAGGTAAGAGAGCAATTTTTACTGTAAATTCCTTATAGGAACAATAAAAAAAAAAGAAAAAAAAACAAAACAAAACCAGTAGAAAGATGTCTCTATACTCTGTATTTATAACATCAATATGTCTCATTGCATAAATCTCTATTCCAGCATGTGTTGATCAAATTCTTATCTCATGATATAGCTATAAAAGTAAACAAAAATTTGATCAAATTACATTTGTTCAATATACTTCCTGAGAGAAAAGCAAGTAGAACTCACTTGGAAAGCAGAGTATTTGCTTTATAAAAAAAAAAAAGCAGAGGAAATTGGTGAGTGATCATCGGCTCCCCATCAGGAATACAAAGGTCATTACTGCAAACTTACGAGTTGGAAAAGTACAACAGGAGGGGGGAGTAATAAGACCTACCTAGAGACCTACTCAGAGCCATAAGCAACAGGCAAATGCTGAAGCTAGAAATAAAAAACAAACCTCAGTTTCCATGTTTTCTGACCTATTTTATCCTTTGAGGCAGCATGGCTTAGTACGTCTTGTTTATAGTAAAGAAATTAAAACTCAAATTATGAAACAATCAGTATTACATAACTAATATTCCTCTTTTTCAATACTGTGCTTCGCAGATGATGATGGGGAGACAGATGTGTTTATAATGTTCAATCTGCTGAACCTGAAAAATAATGCTTAGACTGCTTAACCTAAATACAGTAATCAACTCGCAGAGTTGCCACAGTATTCAGAGTATCTGCCAAGCAGCACCAGTAAAGATTTTGTAAAGCAGAATTCTGCTGAATGTGCTCATAAATATTAGAATATTCTTGATATGCTAGGCTGAAAACATTCCATCTGAGCTGCAAGCAACCAGCACTGCATATCAATTTTTAGAAAATGCTGGCATTTGTATCCAGAGATACTACCAGCTACACAAAGTGACAAGATACTGAAACTGGCATTACAATGTGTTACACAATTATTTGGGGTCAAAGCCTCCCTTTGTACATAAATTCACATAATGAAGATCAGTACAAAGCAAACTAACAATGGGCTTGGCACAGAGAAAGAGAGATCAGCAGCTGCATTGGGAATTCAACAGAGAAAACTATTTTAATACCCAATTCTATATAAAACAGTCTTTGAAACTAGCTGAAAAATGCAAATAATATACACTAAAATTTCTTAAAAGAAAATTCAGTCTTGCTTAAAACAAAAACTGATTTCAGAATGAAGGATTTTTAAGAGCTATAATTAGCTGATGAGAGGTGTTTGTGATAGAAGACATAGCAGCTATGATGGCATTGTTATTATCGCCTTGCTTTCTTTTCTCCATACTGGCAGTTACGGGTCTGTTATGGCTCATACACAAGACTCCAAATACACCTTCCCTAAAGTCTTCAGGAGATACATTAAGAAGTCAGCAACTGAGGTAAAATTTGTCTCACCTTGTGGCAGGAGAAAAAACTCTTCATGATAATGCAAAGCAGTGCACATATTATACAATACAAACAACGTTAAACAGTATAATTTAAAGGAAACACAAAGCAGTCATTGATTTTTAATATCTACATTAAAGCCTCCATTCTATGTAATTACATTTTTATAGGAGATCTTTAGATGATGTTGTGTCTATTTATAAGGAATTAGGAGTGTGTTATACAAACAAGTGCAGGATGAAACTCTTCGCTGTGACTGCTTTCTCAAATACAATTCCTCCTCCAGTCTTTAAATTAGACATTACTACAAGTGCTACAAAAGTATATTGATTAAAAGAAGTTTTCTGTTTGTTTTTGGAAAAGAAAAAAAGTCTTTAGATATTTCCTTCACCTTCCGTTAAGATGAATAATCAGCCAAACTCTCTTTTTGTTTCAGCATTTCAAAAGCCTGCCTGCCTGCCAACGTAGACAGGTAAGGAAATAGTCTGGAGACCAGATGAGAGAACAGGAAAAGGGTTTTCAGAAAGGGGAACAAGTACATCCACCTACTATAGGAAAACACTATTTTTGGACTTGGTGAAATCACTGGCAAGGCCCACCTCTGGATGCAAACATTACGTGTAGATCAATCAGCTATCAGCTGAGATGAGCAATGCCTGTGATTTTATAGGGCAAACACTGACCTGTTCAAGAGAACAAGAGAGGGAACCCCTCACAAAATGGAAGCTAGCACATTGGAAGGCAAAGTATTCTTACAAGAACAAAGGTACACACACAAGTTTTCTCAACAGTCAGCTCTGAACCCTGCTTGCTCTGCCTCAGCACCTGAATAAGATTGCATGACAAGTATGGTTCAAGACCCATCACTTGCAGAGCAGCACTGCCAAGCCAAACGCTGGAGTTCTTTGCCACGGGAGAGAAAGAAGCCAAAGAGCCTTACTATCACCTCCTTGGCTTCATCACATCCTGCTGCCCTCAGTAACATAACGATCCCTGTGTTGCAGCAGGTCTTCAGCAAGGACTGCAAAGTAGCTCTGAGGTACAAAGCAATTACACAAATTTTACTACAAACAACCACAAAAATGTACAGACAAACAAAAAACTCTAACTGTGATGAGTTTTGTTTTGCCCAGCTTCCAACCACAGAAAAACACTCACAGGACAACTACCTGGAAGGCCACTGTCAACACTGGTCCACCAGGTATTCTATCCTAGGCAGCTATCTCAAACCACTTCACAAAGCAGGCAGACAATGGCCTGCACTAGATCTCTAATATTTTGGCTGATATACTCTACATCTCAATTTTTAATTAAAAGAAGAAAAAAAAAAGAAAACAAGAAAGAAGCTCATCAAAATCAATTCAAATGTACCATTTCTCCCAATTACTGTGGAACATACAGGTCATCATCGTACCGCATCATTATGTTGAGGAATAATCTAGCATGAAGTTTCATAAATTAGCTTAAATAGCTTGTGTGTTTTCATCCATAACACTGTATTTCATAAAGATATGCCACTGCTTTTTCGTGTATGAGGATCTAAAATAAACAGGCACATCACATCTATTTTATACAAACTTTAATAGAAAAAGCTGATACAAAACCTCCCCAAATTATCTATGAAGTTTAAACATTATGACAAAGGAATAAAAAAAGTAACAATTTGGTGGTTACACATCAGGCCTTGATACCTAATGCCTAATGACCTAGCTGACTTTTTCCAGAGGTTTGCACCACCGTGATGGCATTTCTATTCAAAATAATCCTTTGTTTTACAGGATAGGGTTCCACGTTTCCAGGGAAATGTGTATGAACACTACAGATTGAAAAAGCCAAAAGATAATTTACAATTCAATTTAAGGAACTACTCATTTTAGAATAAACACGCATGAAAAGAAGAATTCAGTTTCTGCATTTTTATCATGGGATGTTAAGTTCAGCATACTTCATATGATGTGCTAAATATCCTAATACACTCTTATGCCTTGACAGTGACAGACATAACAAAAACAAAACTAACCTAACAAAAACAGAACTAAAAATAAAACAAAAAACAGCACAGTAATGACAGTAATGCACAAATATGCTCTGGACAAGTAGGAATTCCTGCATGCTGAGCAATTTGACAAAAAAAAAAAGTAAATCAGAGTTGGGTTTTGTTTTGGATCATTGGCGAATACATCTGTAATGACTTTCACCTCCTGAAAACCTCTCTGCTTCATTCTTATGCATAGACTTGAAGGGATATTTGGCTTGTTGCATCAATTCAGAGGATAGAGTTACTGTACAAATTTACATTACTGCAGGCTTGTAGCAATGAAGCAGACAAGCACAAAAAAGTAAGAGCTTTTATGGCATTTATTTTAGCTTTGATGGAGAAGAAAAGTGTAGTCATTTGTTATGACAACCACCATGAAGTCTGATTTATTTACTAAGTTTTACTTCTGGAGAAAAAATTTTTGAAGAAAGTTGAAATCACAAGATAACTCATGAATCTGACCAATCACCCTCCAGAGGGTGAAATTCTCTCCTGAACTGATCATGTATTTCAATTTGCCATACCCACTACTGGTTTATAGTTATGACACATGCAATGTGCCAAGAACATTTACTAAAAGTAAAATTTAATTTGAATAAAGGAATATTTTATATAATATTTTCCATAACAACTTCTTTATTAAATATAGGGAAGAAAAAACATGGTTTTTAAATTTTGATGGTTTAGTTTTACTATAACTCATTACTCTGCTGGATGAAAGCCCTGGAATCAAGGGTATATCAATCCTTTGGTGCAGAAAGGGAGGTGAAGAACAGACTAAAAAAAAAAAAAAAAGCAGTGCTGATTTTCAAATAAGGGTCCAGTCAACTGGAAACATGAGTAGAATTGTGATCTTTTCCTCCACTTCTGCCAACAGCTACCTCCCATCCTTCTGATGGGAAGGATGTGTAAATTTGGGGCTGCAGTTGTCCCCTGAACCTGCATGTAGATACTACCAGTGGAGGGGGAGAAAGGACAGCATATTGTAGCGACAGCTGAACATACCATGGCTCACCTTAGTTTAAACTGCAGCATGTTTCCAATCATTAATGCAAGTTTCAAAGCCCTACATTCCCAGACATGTCACTATTTCTTATTATATGCAACACTACTTTCATTCACGGGATTATTATTTATTATATATCACCATTGTTACTCCTAAACACTGGCAGAATAAAAGTATTCAGACCCAAAATAAATCTTAAATGTGTAGTCTAGGTTACTCTACTATTTTTTGTTTGGTCTTAATCCTTGTATGAAGCAACTTTAAAAATTCTTAGAGAATAAGAAGAATTTTCCAAGCCTTTTCTTTTACTATTAGTAAAATTACCTATTGCTAAAGATACCTGACCAACTAATTACATAGTTGATTTGAGATTGCAAGTATACATCTGCAATACAGACTATAAATAATACAAATTAAAGTTATCGTCAATACCTGTGGTTAAAGGCAGATGGGTGACACTTGTTAGACAGGTGAGAGTGAACCAGGTTGATGCTAACGTTGCTCCAGATAAAAGCAGCAGCAGAATAAATTTCAGCATGCCCCTAATAAAATCTGCAAATCTAAAACAAAACAAAACAAACAAAAAAAAAACAAACAATGACCCACAGATCAGAGCAGTACAAATGCTAATTTTCACATTACTTAAACGATGGTTGACAATTAATTCAGTAAATTCTCATTAAACCTTTTGGAAACCATAAAAACAAATTAAAAATCATTTCTCACACTCAGAAATAAAAGTAAATGCTTTTTATAGAATGGTGATATTTCTAGCTGTCAGGATGAAGTGCCATAGATTTTCTAGCTGTCACAAAATAACAACCAAAACAAGAAATTCTCAAGGCATCAACTGAAAATACTTGGTATGTAGGTAGGATTTTTTTTTCCCCTCTTGCATTTGTTGGACATAACATCACACCAATACTTGCACTGCTGTTTTGCCAGTGTTTGCCAGTCTCCTTTGGCAGACACACTGCACAATTAACATATGAGTAGGCTGATGCATTTCATTCAAGACATAGTTAACTTTCAAGACTCATTCCTATGGGAAACAACAAAACTCCCTATACTGGAATCCCTAGGTGGAAGAATTTCTGATCCTCAAAAAATTGGTGATGGAGCTCTCAAGGGCTCAGGCAAAGCAGGAACTTTTCACACACAGTTACTCTGCCAGTGGCTGTTTTGGGTTGAAATGTTCCAGACACCATAAGTCTTTGTGCCATCCCCATCTACACACCTGTCCCAGTGATAATCTGGGGGGCACCATCACAAGTCTGTTATACTCAGGTAAACGTGATCTTCAAACCGTGAGATGATTCAATTGTTTTTTTCCTCATCTTTTCTCATTTTTTTTTTTCAAGATGACATAATGCATTTGAGCAGCACTCACATAACATAATTATCAGTGCTAATGCTCTTTTCCAAAGGGATTTCAACTTGGATACTAAAAAAGAAAAGGCAACGTCATTCCCCCACTAGTAATTTTCTGTAGGTTAGGAATATGACTTTGGGCTGGACGTACGTCAAAAGAATGTATTCTGCACTTATAGTCTCCTACTTCTATCAGGCTGATGGCAGCACAATCCACCTAGGTTGGTTCACAACAAATTGTCCTTTCTGCCTCGGTAAGTATCACTTTGCAGGCAGATACCATACAGCCTACTTGATGTAAGAAATAAATGCTACATTTTGAAGGCTAGGAATCCTAGCTCTTTACATACTATAAAGAGATGTATGAGTAATGACATCTGCAAAAATTATCATTTCTTTCCTCTTATTTTGATTCTCCCTAAGCTTTAATTCCATATTGAATTTAGCAGCAAGTAATTCAATAAGCAGTAGACGGAGATCAATGCTGTATATAATCTTAAAAGTTTACGACTGCAGTGTTAAGTGGCTTATGCATTAATCCCCAATAGTCAGAGGCTCGCTGTTTCTGTTGTGTTTTTCTGACAATTCAAATCCAGCAATCAGGATCACCTCTTCTTAGTAGTTTGTCAGTTTCTTTAACTATTCTTCAAGACCAGTAAGGTCAAAATCAGCAATTTTAAAAGCTTCTCAACATGTCAATTTCAGACTTCTTCCCCAAAGACTCCCTGCTTTTCCTGCTGGCAGACAAAATCACTGTTCCCTCTATCCCCACCATCCTTCTTCACCATCTAGCATGTATGGGAATGTCTGCATCTGCTAAAGAAGTAGGTGCACCAGGACAGATGGCATACGCTTTCCCTTATCACCCTCAGGACGCAGATCTCTGAGCCTACCGTTGGTAGCAGCCTCCTGTAACCCAGAAAATCAGCCTAGGCTGGATCCTATAGCTAAAGTCACAAACCTGTGTTGCTGACAACATCGTCTGTTGCTAAGGAAATTATCACCATGTCATAAAGTTACAGAAAATTTTGGGGAAAGGGGACAGATTTATGTTGCCATGCAATAATATGAACATGCCTCTTCAACGTTGCTTTTCTTCAAGCCAGTATCATTCGAAAGCTGCCAGCAAGGGGTAAAACACCTGCCAGCTGCCCAGAATAACCCGAGCTTTTCAATTAGAAAAATGCATCACACAAATGAGCTAAACATATCTAAGGCTCATGTCTATCGGGACAGCAGTAGGTGGATTTATGTATTGTGCTGAGGAAAACTCATACCATTTCAAATATTAGATAAATGTGTTTCCAAACTGGGCACAACTTTAAATACAGATGATCTAAACACCTACTGTGATGTGCAGGAACAAGTGCTCCAGTGTGAGCCTCAGATTGTTACTGTTCTAAATGGTAGGATCTGCATTGCCAAAAATGTAAAGGGCAGATTCCTAAACTGTACCAATTTTGCTTTGATGAATTAGTGGAAAAAAGTAATAGAAAAAAAAAAATCTGTCTTCCTGAGGAGTGGTTAAGAGAGAGAGCTGCTTGCCTGGTAAATCATAGTTCTGACACTGAAATACATCAACTTGTCACCCTTGACAAGAATCATTACTTAATTTTCCTAATTACAACTTTCAGCAGATTACAGTCAGACTCGTCATTGATTCAGCCCTACACAGATAAATGCTGAATAGACCTAGGAGGGAGAGCCATCCATCATGAGTGACAAATCACCCCCTCCCTCACAGTGTGTGTGCAAACCCTCCCATTTGAACTATGTATTGCCCGAGTTAGAAAGACATATTTGGAGAGAGACTGTTGATATTTTTTCACTTTACCTAAAAGCAAATCTCTGGATGCTACAAAGTACTAGTATGCAGTGAGGTTTGAAATCAATCTTGAAGCAGTTAAGGAGATAGTCAGCATTTCCTGAAACTTAATCTGGACAATATATTAAATAAATTAATTTACCATAAAGATTGAGATTCGCACATTGGCACCGAGTCAGCAGATTCTTTCCTAGCAATGTGAGTGCTAAGGGTGTCCTGACTTTCAGGAGAGATGAACCCATGATGGAAAGGATTAAGTTGGCACAGCACCTTCTAACATCAGGTAACCTGCTAAAGCATCTAGATCACTTACAGCAGGTAGTTTTAAATATCTACTTCTCTAAGAAACAATACTTCATATTTGAGTTCTGGCTCTTGATGATCTGAAGAAAACAGGATGTGAACTTTGTTTTGACAGACTAAGCCCTTCTGCCTGCATCTGGAGAGGACCAGAGAGACATAGCTGTTTCTCCTCCCAGGGTCAGGGGATTTTTCCTCCTCTTCCACCACAGCTGCTAGCCAGCGTGCAAAATGTCACGATGAGAAGCCTCACATTTTTATGCATTGTGTACTCCAAAGATGCCTTGTTCTAGGCTGAAGGGTGGGCCAGAGAAACATTTGAAGGACAATATGAGGGACATTAGTGGGAAATATAGGTGGTAAGTATAAAGTTGTACTAGATGATCTTAGAGGTCTTTTCCAATCTAAATGATTTTATGATGTTAAGCTAAAAAAAGAGTAGATGAAATCTCTAGTTTCTGTCCTAAGATGACAACTTTTCCACAATGCCACAATAATAGCTATGACAGACCCCTGCACTTTTTTGAAGAACTTGTTGCAGAGCCAAAGTGGGCATAAGGAAGCCAAGATAGCACTTAGAAATCCAGGTGCAGGAGGACCAGGCAGCTTGTTTTAAAGTTTTATAAACGCACTGCTCAAGTACCTCCAGAAAACCTTTTTTTCCACCTCCTCTTTTCTTCTGTTTTTATTATTATCATTTTTTTTAAGGGAATTTAATTGAAATTTTAAAAAGCAGCAGCCTTTCGGAAGGGCAACCCATTCCTTATTTTCCCACTTCTCAAATCATTCAGCATTCATGATGGCTAGAGATATGCATGTGTGGATATACAAAAAGCATAGGTACAGCCACAGTGCAACCCATACCAGCATAGCAAAAAAAAAAGAAAAAGAAAAAGCACCATACAGAAATCCAGCAAGCTGCCAAAACAGGCCCAGAGTAATTTTTCTGTGGTGGAACGTACAATTATTGTGTCTAACCTGCCTGTGCTACATTCTTGATGTCTCTTCAGGAATCAATATGCCCAAAATTATTGATGGAATGAGACAGACACTATTTCTTCAATGCTTTCCAAATGGGCTATAATGGATTCTCCCTAATAGCAGGCAGCTGAATTCACAATAACCATTTTAAAAGAACACATAGGAAGTGCTTGTCAGGACTAACAGTATGACCTGTTGAATCAAGGCACAAGTGTGCGGTGCTCTCAACCCTCAGAGAGCAGTAACGTGGAATACACAAACACACTGCTCTACAAAAAACACATTATCCCAGAACTACGCATTTACTATTTCAAGTATCTAAAAGATGAGAAAAAAGTTGTATTATTAAGAGCAAAAGCCAAATAACAGTTGAAAAAGCAGATGCAATTATTCCTACCTTGCCATTGCTATGCCAACAACACAACCTCCAACTATAGACCAAAATCCAATCCAGCCTGCATCTACCTGCCAGGAGAAAAATGAAGAAAAATAAAGAAATTTGTTAGAGAAAGTATGATGATGCTATTTTCAAAACAAATGGTGCACAGGGGCTGCAGACTGCTAGCAAATTCATCCCATGCCCCACTCCCCCAACATTAACATTAGGTGCAAGACCTTTATAAGAGTATTTTAAACAAAGTTTTCTACAAAAAGAAGTATGACTAATCAGCCTATGCCCTAGATGTGATTCCTCAATGGAATCATTCAAGTAATGTCCTCTGGATTTCAACTGTACTCTATCAAAAGCTTAGAAATCCTTTTTTCCCCTATTTCATCCTTTTCATCTGGTAAACATTATTTTCTATTACTAAAGGTGCAGCAGCCAACAATACTCCCATTTGTTTATCTGTCTCTTCACTCTTGTCAAAAGGCGTACACAGCTCTGAAACTACAATCCACTAGCTGAGAGTCAACAGAAAGGATCTTGACAGCTTGGAATGCCAAAGCTATAGTTTATTTTGTTTAACATTTCAGTATAAAAGTGGTTCATATGTATTATAAAAACCTGATAAAATTGTACGCTAGTGCAAAATAAAAACATGCCACTTACAAAATAGCTGTTGATTATCAGTCAGGAGATACTTACTTGGCTCACATGAACTGGTGTTAATATCAAATCCAGAACGCCAGACCAGCCAGAGAAAACACCCAGTGGTATAGCATAGGCTAAAGCAATCATCAAGAATCGGAAATTGCTATGAAAACAAAACAAATGCAATTAGCTGCAGCTTATATTAGAAATTGCACCAAGATTAGCTGCTAGAGTAAATTACAGTCACAATCTATATTCTGCCCATCAAGAAAAATAGCAGAGGTCTGAAGAACGAGCGAGCCAGGAAAAACAACAAAGATATCCAGACAAGTTACTAAAATCTGAGCGGCTGGGATGTTACTGCCTTAGCACTATGACATTAAGAAAAGCCAGTCTCTCCATATCCAACCATTTTCATAATGTGCTGGGCTCATATGTTTCTCATTTCCACAAGCAATTCTTCTGCATTTGAATGGGCAACCTATTTAGGCTAAGTGTACGTTAGGAACAAAAAGCACTAATTCAATTTAGGAAAAGCATATTTCAAGCATAAAAGCAGAGCTCTGAACTGTTTAAAAAAATTTAAAACATGGTTTTACTACTACTTGTTTTGTTGAGAGGGAGGGTTTCATAACAAGGCGGGTACAACTGCAACAGTGGAAAATTCTGACAGTTTGAGCTATCAAAACACAGAGACAAGCGTAGCATTCTGTCTAAATACTCAATATGTTTGCTTTATTCCCCCAATTAAAATTAATCAACCTTCAGTATTCAGCAAAAGATAAAGCAAAGTTGTGTTACCATCTTCACCACACACAGCTATAGAGCTGCCAGACAAAAATCACCACCTATCCCACCCCATCTCATCCCCTCATCACTGTAACCAAAGTGAAATGCCGCACCCTTGCAAAGGCAGATCCCAGCTTTTCCTCTAAAATGTTTCAATCTGGGAATAAAAACAGGAAACATACTTTGGATTGCTCCAACAATGAGGAATTTTGGTGAAATTTAAGTGAAGAGATTTTACAGCGATCCCATGGTTATCCCACAGGTTACCTGTATAAACACGAAGCGTGACTCCTTCCTCCCCCTAGACAATTTATGTAAACTTGATATTGATCAGCAGTACCAGCTCCTTGGTATGCAGCAGCCACTTGATAACACACAGTTACAAAAACCAAATGGGAGGGAAAATATTCTCCAAAATATTCAGAGGTTTTAGCCTACACTATTTTACTCCCTTAGAAGATTCAAAGCACTCTAGCCAGCACTCTGTTCTTTCTACACACTGTTCTTTTTCACACATCCTCATCTTGAATAACAGATTATATCACATGAACATATCCTGCTCTTTCAATATCATTCATGTCAGATTTATTTTTTTAAATGCAAAGAAAAACAACTACCAGACTTCCAACTCTTCCACACACTGCTCATATTTCTCCGAATGCTAATGCATTTGCTGTCTTCTTGACAACTTTTTTGCTCTCTTAAGTCTAGTCCATCCTGTGCCATCCTGACATCTCTGCAGGCAGGTTTTATGTTACTTATTCCTACCTGTGTAAAAACTATTCCAGTATCTACAGAATAAAATAAAAGGGAAAGTCCCATTTTGCATGGACATTATATAGCCATATACAGGTTGCAAAGAAGTAACAACTTTGAATGCAAAGTTCCAAAACAACACTTGCCCAGTATTCAAAATCACTGAATGTCTGTCTGAACTTCATTAATGAGCTACTTCGGGCTGTAAGCACCTGGTTCTTTGCAAGATCCAGGTGTTCTCTAATTCAAGCAATGTGACAAGATGGCACATGGGGTAGCTGCTCCATCACACTCAACTTCTAGTCCCAATACCAGAGATCCAGTTCTGCATCATACCATCGTCCAGTGACAGATGCCCCCACACTGCCACCCTGCCCAGTCTCCCTGTTAAGGAAACCAATCTGAAGAAAGGGTGCACGGCAGTGACAAAGTGGCATCAGTCACCATATGCCATTTAGTCCCCTTGTACAGCAACAGCTAGCACTGGCTACAGTAAATGTCAAAGCCAATTGAAACACACATCTTAAGTATCAGCTTCACTCTTCACGGCTTTAGCAACTTGTATTTGTTTTTGCTATTTTGCAACTGCTCCACTGAAAATAGAAAAATGTGCTGTCTGTCACACCATCAGCTGGTGAACCCACACTGTTTTTTCCATCATATCAGCCTTTATGACAGGATATCAGCATTAGGCTCTCCATTAAATCATTCTGCTGGAATGCCAAATTGGCTTTTTCTTCTGCTGTTTTGTTGTTGTTTTTCTTCAGAATTCTACTTAATGTTACTAGAATCCATACAACAGGCTGGTTCACAGGCGAGCCTTGTCAAAGTCAGTCAGCATTTTCAGAATAACTTTGACAATGTCTATTAACATGAGACACACTCCAAACAGCTTCCAGGCTGGACACGGAAGTCATGTGGAAGTTTCATGAAAGAAGTAATGATGCACAAAAAACCCTGCCATTTCAAAATTGCTTACACAGTCCCTTGAAAATACAAAGGCACATAACTGGCTAATGGCATCTAATTATTTGAAAGAATGAATGAATGAATCAATGAATAAATAAATAAATAAATAAAATCACTGTTTGTTCTCTTAATATTATCAACTATTTACTCGTAAGAGAATTTTTTCCATGGAAGTTTTTGTCATATTCTGCAATGAGGAAAAAAAACATATTTACTTCACCTAAGAAACTGAGACAGGGCACAGTACTTTTTCTAATGAAATTCAAACTAGGCTTGTCACAGTGTGAGATAGACTGTTAAAAGAATTGGGCTTAGCTCCCAAACCATGACTAATCTGTCGACTCCCAGGCTCAGAAAATTGGTATCAGGAGATAACCCAAGATCAGCTAATTGCTATAATCTGCCAGAAGCAGGAATCCTCCAAGGCAGGAAAAAAAAAATCATGATCTAAAGCAACTCCCCCTACAGAGGATGCATGACCCTAAGAAGACCTATATAACACATCTCTAAGTGAAGCAGCTCATGAAGAAGACTGCTCAACAACCTGAAGGCATGAAGAAGCTTAGGAGTTGTGAAGAAGTCACAGATCACTTTGGCACTCAAGAAAAGAGGTCAAAGACTTCAGTGATAAAGTTATGCTACACAGCTTTCTTCTGAAGCAAAAATCTGAAGCCTGGGGCAGAGAAGAAGGAAGTGATGAAGACCTCTTGTTCTCAAGAATGTTTTTTGGTGTACATTTAGGTGAAGTCAGCTGACCTGCTCACACACATCCTGAATGCCTTACACATACAGTTCTCCTACCAGAGGGCAAGTCTGCAACAAAGGAGAAAAATCACATTTTCCTCCTAGTCATCAGCTGACTACCTTCAACCTATACCACAAGGTCTAAAGAAAGATTCTTTTCCAAGAATCACAGAGTCTAGGTTAGGCAGGCAACAGAGGTTAGAAGCCTAACGAACCAGATGATGGACTTATCTTGAAACACAGCAGATAGTTTTCTTTTACAGACCCCCGCCTTACTTGATGGATTGGTGCTGAAAGGCTCCCCAAGATAAGCAATTTTAATGATGAACTGTTGATTGTTTCATATACAGAGGAATGTAGAACTGCCTTTGATAAGGGGTAGAATGGAAGAACGCATAAAGACCAGAGGGAAGGAAGACAACGATCTACCTGACTTTGAAACATGATGAACTATGCTAATTACTTGTATCTCTATTTTGTTTTCCTAAGTTTGGTTGACTGTGAATGGTCAGTTTTGCTGCTTATCTCCTGAACTTACCAGTATCTCAGGCCCACTATTTACAACATGCTGAACAAGCAATATTGTAGTTATAGAACTCCCAAAAAGAGTACCGTCAACAAATTTTATATTTTAGCTGCAGAGTTGGTTGCTGTTCGGATTTCTATTCAACAGCAACATTTTTACAACGTAGCCCTCAGGCAGGGTCTCACTACACACCGACTTGGGCGTTTAACAGCATTATTGGGTGTGCTAAGTGTCCTTAGGGGAATTGCTATTTTTTAAATATCCTGAGTAGGTCACTTTGCAGACTAACCAGCCAGCTGTATTCACATCTTCTCCCAACTACCAGCCTACTTCAGTATGAGCACATAGGAGTAATTATTTTTTCCAAAAAATTTACTCCTCCAAACTGAAACAAAAGCCTCCAAACCTACCAGATAAAAACAGGAGGTGCTGGTTTTGCTGACTCTAACCAGGTTTTTTTGAGAGTACAGAAAACAATAGTTGAATAGTTGAATTTCCAACAATATCAAGTTTTAAGCAGCCTGTTTTATATAGATTCATCTCATATTACTACAAGCTAAAAATTGCAGCAAGAATTTGAACCTCCCCAGTGAAATCCATCATACTCTGCATCACAGATCTTTTCTGCCCCAGCAAGCTCCTCTATGCATTACCACACACCACGTGCAGGCCTCCACAATTATTGAGCATTAATGTTATAGTTGCTTTGATACTGTATTTCCATTACACAAGACATTCTTCAAACAATGGGGGTGGCATTGTTTTACAAAAAAAAAAAAAAAAAAATCTTAAAATCTAAGCAGACAGCAAAAAGTTGTAAAGCTGAAGATGCCACTTTATTTTTTTTTTCTTTCTTTTTCTTTTTTTTTTTCCCCCTAACTCTAAATTTAGAGAAAACTAATTAATCACTGAAGTTGTCCAGAAACAGAACTGGCAACCCTTCTGCCCCACATATTTTAAAATTAGCAAGATCTAACAGATCATATAATGGTTTCAGATATTTCATTCATTGCTCCTACAGCTGAATGAAAGCATTTATACACCTCGTTGAATGACAAGCAAATCCCAAATTCATTCCAATATAAAAAGCATGGAAGAAAGCAGCTTATTAATTAGTTACGTCCAGCTCTGTTAACTGTTCCCTCACACTCAGCAGAATGCACACTGGTAACAATCTTGTATAAACTGATGTAACAGAAGCGTTGCATAAGAGCAGCCATGCTAACAGAATGACTCCAGCAGTGGTGGTGCAGAAGGATGCTCACATAAAGATTTGGGATAGACCCATTTAAAATTTAATGTCTATTTTCTTGTAGTTACCATCTTTTAATGTTTCAGCATTAATATTTTATTTGATTGGGTTTAAAAGCACTACAAACTAACTTGTGTGTTCAGTGAGAAGATTAAAGGACACTTGCGTTCATTTATTCAGGTGCTGATCTCTTCAGTGGAAGCTCAGTCAGGACCTACCTTAAGAGTCTGCAGAAGCTCCTCCTGTAGCTAAGCCGTTGACTAGCTGCAGCCACACTGGGAGGGAATGGAGGGCGTGAGGGGAAGTAGGCCAATGCTGCGGAAAATATCAAGGAAACTATCCCAAATTCTAAAGAAAGGCAAAGAAAAACAAATCAGAGAACAACTGTTAGTAATGAAAGACTTCTTCTGGTACAGCATTATTATCAGCCAGCCTCTGATACATAAATCCTACCCCGAGTGCTTTACTGCTCCTGACAACAAGACTGCAGAACTTGAAGGAGGACTTCTTTTTCCCCTCCCCAAGCAAGAGTTCAAATGGAGATGGAGAACCAGTGCAATAAAGAAATACTGGCAGTCATTCTGATTATAGGAGCTGAAGAGCAACAGGCTCACACACAAGGAACTAAGTGAAGCAAAAAAAGAAAAGCTGCTGGTTTTTCTTTTTAAAGAGAATTATGAAGAACTGGCCACGTTTCCTTCAAATGGTGTAATACCAGGTAACAGCATGCTAGAGACTTTAAACAAATGGGAATGGAGAAGGCCAGGGTGTGGAATGACAATTACTCAGTATACATGATGATGAAGGCAAATAAAAAGGTCAAGCAAGGCAGCACTGTGGACACAAACAGTATTGCATGTCAATAAAATATAAACAGAATAGCACAGGAGCAGTCATGGCTCAGAAACGTAGAGAACATAGCTAGTAAGGAAAAAAAAAAAAGGAATACAGCTGTTCACAAATGCTCCTCTTGTTTAGAGGTGGGTGTTGCATCAAAAAAATTCATAGTAAAAATTTGGACCTGAACTTGCAAAGTGATGAGCACTTTGAAAACACACAGCAAGACCCATGATCAGACATTACGAGGAAAAACAATTCCACAAATCCATATTCAGTCCAAGCTATTTGTTTTACAGGCCTTTTACAATATATATCATGTACTCCACAATCCTCAATCCAAATACTTTTGCTATCTCCTTTGGAAACAAGATTCTTTGCTGCTGGAGAGAAAGACGCATAGCTGAAGCACGTTATCTTAAAAGAACCTGTGATCTTATTACAAAGAAGCGCTCACCATCACCGCAAATAAATTCCAGCAGAGCTGGATATTCAATCACATGCATCTGCTTTTTTCCTTTTTCAATAAATCAATATGAATGTGGCACTTTGCTAGTTCTTCTGCTAAACAGAAAGAAAGTAAGCTCAGGAAACTGAAAAGTAAATAATACTCTGACCATAAGTGTATCAGCTATAGATTGGGATGGGAATTGAATGCTTCTTGTTCAGAGTGGAGAAGAAATTGACTCTACATTTGTTTTGAAGGCATACGAGGAATTATAATGCCAGCCTCCATGATCAAATATGGGAGGATTCATTTTGGACTATGCAGTGTCTTTTCTTCCTGTTGTGGTCTAATTACAGGTTTTGAGGGTCAAGGACCTCCAACACAATTCTTCTTGTCTCCAGTAAACAGATGAATTTCTGTCTTCCAGTACACTGGGTTGGAGAACACAAGTGAATGGAGAACTGGTCATGAGTAATTATCCTAGATCTAAGAAAGAGATAGGCTCTGCCATTGTAGGATGACAGTGGACAAAGCAAGGCTTGCTAAAAGCTCTTCAATCCCTCCTCCTGCATCTACATCTTTATACAGGTCTGTAGATATGCATATATACAAAGGCTGCTCTGAAACTAATGCCTCCTATTTTCTCATGTTGGTCCATGATGTCAGAGGCAGAGGTTGGTGGTATGGCAGTCCAGGTTGAACCTTCCCACCAATATTCTGTTACATTTTGTTGCTACATGACAGATAGCAGCAGAGGGGGCAGCCTGACAGAATGGTAGCTGACATGGAAGCTCACATGAAGCAAAGGTGAGTCAATGAATTTCTCAATGCAGAAAAAGTTGCATTCACCGACATTCATCAGTACTTGCTGAACGTTTACAGAGACAAACAGTGATGTGAGCACAGTGAGGCAGTGGGTGGTATGTCTCAGCAGTGGCAACAGTGTATCAGCTCCACTGGTGCACATATGTATTTTTTTTTTTAAATAAAGGTAGCATGCAGACTTTTGTCAGTTGCTGGCAAAAATGCATAGCTAATGGTGGTGACTATGCTTAAAAATAATCTTTCATAACTGAGAATTTGCTCTATTGAACAGTGTTACTTTGCTCTTTGTACCTGTTGTTGATTCCATGGAAATAAATAAGAAGCATTACTTCCAGAGCAACTTACGTACATGCACACTTGAATTGCACAATGAGAGGAAGGCAGCAGCTTGCAGATGGGTACAGCCAACAAGAATGTGATCACACAAAAACAGAAGTTGTCCAAGGTGTGTATTATTTAAATTTATTACACTGCAATGACATAAGGGATAAGGCTATATCTTTCTAGAAAAAATATAAGGTAGGTTGATAATTTTTTAAAGACATGGTAATATTTTAGAACAGGTACTCATCTGGGGCCTCTTCTAACGCTTACCTCAAGATTCATGCCAGTCAAATTGCTGCAGTAGGAGCAGTATGGTAACACTTCATTTTTTTTTTTCCATTATTAAGTTCAGCATGCAGTCCTTGCTGTACTGTCTTGCAACTCTTTAATGTGTCCCAATGTTATACTTCCTAGGCTAATAAATTTGCCTTGCAAGCACTGCCCTCATGCACAAAACAAAAGAGCAAAATTCACTCTGGAACTCATCCAAAACACAAGCAATACCCTCTACTGAAGAACAGAAGTCTTTACTGCCATCTTTAGCTTTATGTATCACCTTTGCATCTCTACTGAAATTTCAGGTACTACCAAATGCATCTGATTCCTTACATCTTGCACAGCTTCTTCACAGGGTAGCTCACTGTCATTACCATCATCATTTACTACACCAGACCAGGTAAAACAGATTGCAAGAAAGGAACAAAAGGAAGTAAAAGATAACATTAATCTACTCCTTACATTTTGAGACCAATGGAGCCACTGTCATGACACCTGCAAATATCAACGTTGAGAGAAGCCTGCATCTTAGTCCAGAAAGCAGACACTCCTCCTGGTTGTGTAAACCCTGAACAGAAAAGGTTTACAGAGGCATGAGCCTCCTCAATCCATGTTCTTCTTACTTCCAAAAACCTACCTCAAATCAACAAAACCCTTACCTTTCACCTTCTGAAATGTAACAGGGAAAGGAGGGCATTTCACACACATATATACACACACATATACACACACACATGTGGAGTATTCTTCCTTTACCATTACATTTCATATATATACTTACACAGACATACACACAGGTGCATATATACTTTATGTATGCACGCATATATATGTTTATTACATATTTTTGAAACAAATAATGATTTCTCATCAATATTTAGGAAAGTACACAGCTAAAACCTCTGTCTGGAGCCTATAAGGATTACTGTTTCCTTGTGCAATACAAATATACAATGCAATTCTGATCTGCTAAATCTGTATTACTCCAGCTGTGAACCAGAACATGTAGAGACAGATGACACGGAAAGAGGCTGTGATATTTCAGCCAAGTTCTTAGACCACATTTGAGATACAGGAACAGCAATTCAATAAAACACAGAAAATATAGGAGCAATTTCAGAATAGATTTATAAACAACTGCTTCATAATCACGTTTGAGATTAAGTCCTTGGAAAGTCAGCACATTCTTGGCCAGTAACTGATCCCAAGTTAACAATTCACATTATTAGGGTTTTAAAAATCATCAACTACATTTTGGATGCTACTCATGTAATGCTACCTCATGCAACGACAACAAGCTCCATCACAATACTGAAAAATGCAGTTCCTATCCTATGAAACTAGTTTTATTTGAGATCCTATAAGAAAAAGCCAGATCAAGCCCTACTAATGTACTTGCTAAAGAACTGTGACACTTGAGTCCAACTCCACAGAAGGGACAAATAGCATAGTCTGCTGCCTTTTGAGCTCTCTATGGAAAGTGGGTTGAGTTGAGACAAGACAAATGTCATGAGAGACGCAAGACAATCACCTCTTGGGATAGCTTCTGCCAATTTCAAACCAGTGACTGTTGGGTCACTGACATTCAGGACCCATCTCCTTTTCACTGCCTGAAGAGCAAAAGGAATTTTAGATCCTGGAAAGACCCCACAAGACACATCACTAACACCGCAAACATAGCTGCACAAAGAAACCTGGCTATTTAAAGGTACTTTGAACAAAGTAAGAACTACAGATGCCCCCCCAGGAAATGTATCTTAGGAATCTGAAGAGCTGCTTTAAGGATGATCTTCAGCTGGGACCAATAATCCCAAGCAAGCTTACAGGATAGGCTATTGCCAAGCCCTGGCTGACTCAAAGGCAGAAAAAGCTGTGCTGAAACACTGGGCAGACAAGACAGATCTCTGAACCCAGCTACCAAGAGATATCTATTCTAGCATTTGAAGAAAATGCCCTGGGAAGCCTCCCAGAAAAGAACAGAAGATAAGTAAATCTAACAGGCTGCTGAAAATGGCATTTCTTGTGCTAACAAACTCAAATAAGTGGTTTTAGGCACAAAACCGTAATTCCTTCAGGCCAAACTCTTCTCTGTGGAAAAAGGAATGGGCTAAAGACCTTTTCTAATCACTAGATTTTTGCTGCCCCTCCAAATCCAAACCAACTTGGTGTTCACTTTCCCCTCCTTCCCACTGGTCTCTTATTTTCCACAAATTTTCTGGCCTCTACCAAAATATTTAGCTCTGAAAAGGCCTAACAAAACCCCAATTTCCTTATTTCAGTAGATTTGAGTCCAATAACAAGTAGGTTAATTGAAAGAGTCTAATACTTGATAACATAGTAATCCAACATCTACTACATATTCTTTAAAATGAATAGTAAAGTGGACCTCACCCAAAATGACAATTAACTTGACAAAATTTCCAAAAGAATCAGAGCCAGGAATAAGGGATCACAAACAATTAATTCAATCTCATAAACCTGAATATAAACTACACAGCATATATACTTCAATACTTCTGGAATGCAAAGGGCTGAGTCCTGGCTACATTTCAGAGGCTGGAACTATAAGAAAAACAACATCAAATGTGCAACTGTCATGACACCGTAAAGTCCAGCAGCTCTTAATGCCATAGCATTTATACCCATTTAAAAAAAAAACAAAAAAAAACAGATCATAGGCTCTTAAGCCATTTGGGCAACCCTTCTTCCTTGCAGTCTGCTGCCGAATACAGCTAATTTTTCTATATAACACCAAGAGCAGTGAAGCAATTGCATTAAAAATAGAAGGGAAACAAAATCTATATTGTATCAGATAAATTTTCTATCAGCATTTTTTGCACCAAACTGTTGTCGCTTCGTTGAAACTGCTTGCTGCATAAGAATTAGGTAGTTTTAGTTAAAATCAAAATCTATTGAGTTTAATTCCACTGTTAGATTCTTAGATACTAATAATCTAATCACATTTGAAAGGCATATGCAAGACATAAATTAAGGCTGAATTTATGCACAAAATATTCAGTGCTGGAAGAATAAGATTTCCGTGCTCCCAGAAATAAAAGAAAAAACAATCTGCCACAGAGAATTTTTTACTGAAAATATGAGAAGCGAACAACAGTTTGGAATCTCTGGGAAAGCATACACTCTCCTAGAAGATGTTTCTCCTAATACAGTTGATCTAATTCCCTTGGAATCAATCTGTGTATGACACTATTTTAAATTTTATCCTTAATAAATAAATAAAATAAAATAAAGGGAAAAAAGTAACCCTTCAGATACTAGCACATCTTACCGCTTCGTTACTTTCCATCAGTTAGCTACTGTTCCCTTGGCAGTCCAGCCACTAGAGGGTAGTGCTTCACAAGCACCAAACACACGGGAATATGTAAATGTTTTATAATTATTAACTTTTTTTCCTTAATTAAAAAAAAAAAAAAAACACACCTGCATAGAGCACAGCCTCAATGCGGTCCTTGATGTGCTCGGTGTTGCTCTGCGACAACAGCGGGAGGTGTGATGTTCCATTAGGAGATGGCACTACAAGAGGTCCCACTAAAAACGCACCAGCACAGCCCAGGTAATTGAGCAGGGAGGCAATCGCCGTTGCTGTCGCACGTTCATCTGGAGAGAACCATGTTGTGGAAAGAAACGGGGCTGCGTTCATCACAGTTGGCCCCGCCAAGCCATTTAACAGCTGCCCTCCATGAATCAGCCTGGAACAGAGAATAGAGATGAAGGCCATTTGGATGATAATCACCTCTTTTAAAAATAAAGAAATAAATGGCACATAAGATGCTGGGTTCTTGAGATAGAGCGGCTTCACAATCAAATGAAAATTCTGTGCAGAAAACAGAATATTCAATACATTTTTTAAAAGCCCAATTAAACTGATTTAAAGAATCCAGGGCTATTCTGTTCTAATTACCTCAGATAAATGGAAAAGCAAATGTTCTCTTCAAAGCCAGAAAGGAAGAGAGAATAAAAAGGACTTCATTTGTAGGAAAAGAAAAACATATATTATAATAGGATATTGAAGTAGAAAAGGTGTAGTAGCAGAAACACTTTAAACTACAAGCCTCTTAAACCTGACCCCTTGCCTGCATAAATTCCAACAAAGAACTTAAATTAGTTATGTCAGATTCAAAACTGAAACATTTCAGCAAAATACTCTGCCTACAGAGGAGGTCGGGCTGTTGAGGTTTCCAAGAGAATCATCATCTGCAGCAATCTGGCCGTTCTCGACAAACTATTGAAGCAGCCAAGGAAATACAGATTCTTCTCATTTTTCACACTCACTGAGATCTAACAGATAAGACTGGTGACAAAACAGAAATACTACTTCAAGCAACAAAGGCTCTACAACCTTTGGCTTCATATTAGCACAATGAGAAGGACTTTTTTGAAGGCTCTTCTAAATGTGGAATTCAGCCAGAAACCTTCCACACTGACTTTTCCAAAAAGTGATCAGCTGTGAAAGGCAAAAGCATGTTGAAATTTATATAAAAACCTCATGTCTGAAAAACAGCTAGCAAGTCAAATGAAACACTGCAACTCTCCAAAGCAAATCTATCAATTGTGCAATAAAATGGTGGCAGATTATATTTTTAAATGGTGGTGTTTTTTTCTATGCATAGAAGGAACTCTATGCTGTTGCTGCAAGAGTTGAGTTGTCAGACATAAAAAGCTACAGACGGAAAACAGGGAAACACAAGTTAGCACTTAGGCAATGTTTCAAGCCACAAATGACTAAATAATACTAAATAATATACAACGTGGCAGGGGATTTTTAAAGAGTATAGAGGAACAAAACACAAAATGCTGACAGACTCTTCATCAAATTAACAGGCTAGCTTACAATAAAAAGAGATGGATGCTAGTGATCCTCAGTTGATTAGAAGTTAGTTCTTTAAACAGAATTTATTAAAAACATACAGCAAAATAAAAAAAAAAGCCATCATATATCATCTCAAGGAAACAGTTTCCTAGCCAGGACAAAAATTATACAGTCTTAAAAATAAGCAATTCTAACTTCATAAAGAAGTCCACATAGTGAGATCTCGTTACTATTTGTTTGTGACTGACATCATCAAGGCAAGGCCAGGACCAGGTGAAAGGTTTCTGATATTGAAAATGTGCAAAGAGCGAGAGCGTTTTTGCTTGTTGCTATTTCAGTTTGATTCTCTTCAACATGAATTCTCTTCTCTGACAAAAGGATGACTCCAGTTCGGGACCGTACCCAGATGGAGATAGGTTTGCTCACATGTCTTCCTAAACTGGTCACTGAATTGCAGAACAATAGAGCAAGGGATAATTCAAATATAACAACAGAAATAAGAGCAGAAAATTCTTATTGTACTCTTTCAACTCGTCTCCCAAATTCTTGTCAAGTTTTAAATAAATAATATGCTTTCATCACTTCCCCGAGAGAACATTTTATAAATAAGTTACTTCTTAAGGCTTATATACCTGCTTTATGCACTCCCTGCTGTCACAGCTGCAATATCATAACAAGCAGCAACAAAACAAAACAAGGCATGTAAGGCTGTAAATGCTGAAATTACTGTATCGCTGAGTGAACTGGGTATGAAGAATGATATTATACAGGAAAAAGATTTTAGTGATGGATGATAACACCATACGCCATTTACAATCTGCTTTACTTATCTTTTTTCCTCATGTGGTTTGAACTTTTCATGCATGGTCAGAGTCCCATAAGGTATTGGATTTGTTAAGCTATTTAAGAGCTGTGTTACAGAGACATGTTTTACATGTAAAAATAACAGACATTTAATGTCTCCACCACAGCATGTGCCATGCCTAGACTTAAGAGCATTTAAGAAGAAAAGAATAATAATAATAATTCATTTGCATCCTTTCTTAAATGTGGAAACAAGAGGTAATGGCAGAGAGGAGGAAAAAAAAAAACACGAAGAGCAAGGCAGTCAGTGAGAGCACTTGTCTGTTGCTCCAGGGAAACTGCACAGTGTGTGCCTCTTCTCTGGGAAAAAATAGTGCATTAATTGTTGATCTTAACAATTCACATCAAAAGGGATTCTGGATAACAAAGTTAATATCTTACAGGAGTGGATGGCTGATCTATCTTTCACACGCCTGATGTTTTCACTCACTGAAAGAAGTGGATTGTTCAGCTCCTGCTAATTTAGAAGACAAGTAAGTTTATATAGTGATTAGCTCATTGTGGCAACTCCTGGGAGCAAATGAAAAATCTCCTTCCACAGGAGGACTTCAGAGCACTCCAAGCACTATTGAATTTAGCCTTACTTCACAGCAACAAAGCAGTGAATACCTCCTATTCAAGAGTGTCTGTGTTGATGCATGATGCAAGTTGCTTGTGCAGGCAAAAGAATGAGAAAACACATAGACTTATCTACATTATACATTAGAAGATTTATTATACTTCAGAGCAAACTGACACCAGTTTTGTAATGAAAAAAAATCTGTGATTTTTCACAGTCAAGTTACTAGAAATGGATAGTTTGTGGTTTTTTTTTTTCTTCAGGCTCTCCAAAACAAACACTACAAAAAGACCCCTCTATTAAACTTTACCTCCTAAAGCACAGAGGAATTAAGAAGGTCAAATCCACGCTTAACAGCAATTCACTGCTATGGAATATGGGCATAACCTGGTGTGAATGCTGTTCTGTTCATAAGCAAAGGTTTATAACATGACTCTGTGTCTGAAAAAAGATTGAGAAGAAGAAATACCTGTTGGTAAAGCAATGAATTCATCTATTGAAAATAACATTCTGAAAAATGAAATTCATGGAAATGCACTTCTTTTCAATATTTTCATTAAATGATATATTTATACTACAAAAGCTTTATGCCTTCTGGATATTCATGGATTGAGGCCATTAGCATTTTTTGCTTGTTTTTGATGCATGCGACCATTGATATGTGGAATAATTTAAAGCTGTTTTTTCCCATCAGTAAGAAAAATTATTACAAGCAGAAAGCCTGAGTCACCATGTGGTACATTATCTCTTGCAATAACAGAAAAACTCATAAAAGCACTGTCGACCACTTTCATCGGGAACTTGGCTCACATCTCCCCGTCTGCACACACCACGGCCTCCAAGCCATTCCACATACGTCTTATTAAAGGGAGATATTTTTTAAAGCAACACTAACAGAGCATACATTCATCAAATGCAAGCAGATCCAAAACAGTGTTTTGTAAACAAAAGTAGGCAATTACATTACGGGCTAATGAAGCACAACACCCTGAAGCTATCAGGGAAGGGCACCAGGAATGAGTGCTTCCAGGGCTGCCATGTGAGAAAGCTGATGGAAATTACCCAGGGTGGGAGTTACAGGAGTACAGGAGATGTGGTGAACTAAAGACTGGGATAAACAAGACCCATTTAAACATCTCCACAGAACCTTCCAACATCAGCAAAAGAGCAAAAGGATGCTGTGATCATAACACAGAATTCTGATATAAACTCAATCAATATGAATTCCTTTTTAAGGACAGAAATTACTCAACACGTAAGAGTCACAAGACATTACCAGTGTCAAAGAGCTCCAGATGACAGAACAAAGAAAGTAAAGGTTTTCTGCAGTTGAGGATAACACTTTCCATTATAAGAGATGGAGCAAATCTCACAAATACCTTTTTTTCCTCTTGCCTTCCAGCACAGGCTTATGTTAGCAGATGCCTTACAGAATTACCATCCATTAAATATTACTGCAATAACTAGACCTTTCTGAGATCTCAGGGTTTGCTTTAATACACCTGCTGAATTTACCACTCCAAGACTTTCCAGGCTATAAATTGCTATTTTGACAGTTAGCACCTGAACCATACAGGCGAAACACAGTGCTGCAGCTCAAATAGTGCACAGCAGCAAGAGGAAAGACTGTCATACAATCATAGAACAGGTTGGATTGGAGGGGACCTCACTGACCATCTAGTTACAGCCCCTCTGCTGTGGGCAAGGTTGCCAACCACTAGATCAAGCATTAGATCAGGTTGCCCAGGGCCCCATTCAGGCTCACCTTGAACAGATGCTGGCCTGTGCCAGCACCTCACCATTCTCTCTGTCAAAAAACTTCCTCATGACATCTAATCTAAATCTTCCCCTCTTTAGTTTAAAACCATTTCCCCTTGTCACCAAAACCTTCAAGCTGCCTGCCTCCACTGAGGCTGTACTGGCTGAAGCCAAGCCAATCTGGCTGCCACCTAATTGGAAGTGCTGAGCAGTGGTTGATGCTCTGTGGTACCGCTGGGTAGCCAGTACACTTAATCATCCCCTAGATTCACTGCTACTAAAAGTAAGCAAAGCAGGGAACAATCACACAGGAATAATGCAAAGGATCTCCCTCCTAAAACAACTTTGGAGCAGAAGTTTTTAAAAAAAAAAAATCTATAAACAAAGTGGTTTAGGTAATAAAACAATGTAAATTCTGAAGTTAGAAGTGTTTAAAGATTAAATATTCCCTATGATAATCTACCTGTGAATGATGACTTGTGTCCTCTTTTTCCCCACTTCTTTTATTGATGCTATGGATTAACCTGCCTCAGCCCTTCCCTTGCATTGCAGCCAAAGCACAACCAGTGTGATGCTATCACTCAAGTACTCTATCTTAATATTTTCTTACACTTACTGATCTACATAATATAAGCACACCAGTTTATTCATCGTTTTACTCCCAGAACCATGCTTCAGGTTAGCTTTTTCATTTCTCTTCCCCAGGGGCTTACAGCATACACAACATGCATCATTCTCTGTCTTTATTTTTATAGGCAGATTCTTTTAATACCTTCTCCTAAAAGGCTCTTTTCATTTTAATCCCTGTTCTCCACAGCTGCTCCACTTTGGGGTATTCTTTTGAGCACAGATAATCAGAAAGAGTGTGGAGTATTGCTAGGAATACGAGAGCCCTAGTATGTTCTTTCCTGATTGGAATTACCTCTTCTTAGGTGCCCCTTTTGCGTTTTCCATGCCTCAGAATGCCAAGATGATTCCATGTCATTCTTCAGGCTTTCAGGGATGAAGAAGCAAAAGCGTGCATTATCAAATCATAGAATCACTTATGTTGGAAGGCAACTTTAGGGGTCATCTAAGTCCAACTCCCAGTATGTCCCAAAGAATATATCTAACAAAAATAAAATATTTAATATAAACTACGTTACAACCAGCTAATAGAAACAAAATGCACCAGAGATGTGGTAAGTGAGCATCTGCAAGCACAAAAAAGGGAAAAAGCTGATATATCAAAAAGCAGGCAAAAAAAAATAAATATCTTAAGTAGCAGCATTATTCAAGTCTTTCTACAGGAGCTCCTAATTACTAGTAATCTCTTTAGAACAGAATTTGTAAATAACAAAACTGCCAGTTCATACTGCTCCTATTTCCACTGTCATTCTCTGTATTATTGCTCTGCAGGTTTTGCAATAAATGTTTTAACAAAACTTATTACCATAGAGCACCCTCACACTGCTTTGACTCAAGGTCTTTAACAAATACTTCTGTATTGTGAAATCTAATGTGAAGGTTACTAATCTGTAGCACACTACGTTCTGATAAATTTCTTAATTAATATATTCAATACAAATGACAAATTATGTCATCCTTTACGTCCATGTCTTTAATTATCCTGTCTTTCATAACATTTTAAGACATATTACATGGAGTGTCTTAAGAGTCAGCAGTTTATGGGGCTATGGACTGACTTCATCGTTCATTGCCTTCTTCCAGCTCACAGGTAGATCTTATAGCATTTTACCTAGATTTATTGCTCAACAATCATATGGAAATCCCAGATTGTCTTGTAAAACTATTCCAAAATACAGAATGTGTAATAAATATTCGGTGTTACATGAGGGGGGTTCAATTTTGTCTATTAAAAATGGCTTCCTACTAACTATTCAGGATAAAGTACCAAATTACAAGAGTCCAATGAAAACATTCATTCAGTGCCAAGAAGTACTCAGAAAGGAAAGGAATGGACCTAAAGATGTAGGCAAAACATATTAGCAATGCTCTCTGCAACTCCTAGGAAGGGAATAAGGCAATCTAGAAATTGTACGATTTAATAACATCCATTTTCTTTTCAATTTCTGATAATTTTATGCAAATTATGAACTGAAAAAATAGGTGTGGCAAAAGGAGGCCTTCATAGTATTTAGAGTCCTTATTTTTTAATTTCATCTTTAGAAGTCAAATTCACTGTCACATATATGCCACAAATTTGGCAAGCTCAGATGTGCATGGCAGCTGAGAAAAATTCTGTTTCATTCTTTCTCTGATTGTTACAATCACTAACCTACAAGGTTAGCAAACTGGAAGGAAAGCAAGCAAACAAATCACGTGCATGTGAGAGGGACTTTACCAGTTCAAGACGTGGTTGGTTCTTTAATCTCAGACACAGGCTCAAACTTCCACATCTAGCCACGCACATTCCTTTCAGCCTTCCCTGACTTTAAGCAGTTCTGGGATGGATTCCCAGAGAAGAAGGACTCACCATAAGGAACTGCTGCTTCAAGAGACACACTCAAGTGTTCAACCTAAATTCTCCCTTACGCAAGTCACACACATATATATATGGAAGTCAAATGAAGGTTTGCTTTTAAGACATGACTCTGATTGCTGGAGATAGTCTTAGCTCCTCCACGCAAGAGCCAAAAGAATAATTGCAGACTAGAAAGGAACCTAAGAACACATTTAGATATTACAGGTCTTCATGAGATAAGGAGCACAAAGCGGTGAGGATTAAATGTCAGCCTTAACCATGATTTCCTCGCTTCTGTGATTGCTCTGACAAGCAGTGGGCTTCAGTAGCTCTCCTTAATGTTAAATTACAAGAACGTAGGGAACAAAGACAGACACATAGCAGAAAAACAGTTAAATAAAACTGACAAACTTCATGAACTTCCTCGTAATTTTATGTATTTTAACTGACATAATTGTCCCAGGAAAATCCTTCTCTATATTACTGAAGATTACCCAGGGACTGAAGGAAAACATCACAAAACATGCAAAAGCATTTAAATGAATTTCAGTTGTGCTGGCTTTTGAGATGCTCAGACATGAGCTTCTGTGGGATCCTGTCCATCTGACTAGTTGATTAGTGTTCAAAAAGTTATATTCAAGTATATGCACCTTACAAATAAATGCTCGGCCAATCATTGTTAAAGCATCAAGCAATAATGGCTTTCTCTAAGATATTATTTGGTAGTAGTTAATGAAAATTGGCCAGTTTTAGCCTTCAAAACAATGCAACTATCACACAGCGTGCGCAGTTATTTACAATATCTCAAGAAATAAAGAAACCACACATTTGTTTCACACAGTAAGCAATAATTAATTCTCTGTAGATTTTTATAAATCTGTGCAAAAGTTCAAACTATTTCCTCAGGAGGAGCTACAATTCTTACAAACATCTCCATTTTTTGAGAGTAGGCTAAGTTAGCAATTTTAACAATTTCAGCTTGAAATGATGCATATTTTCACAGCATGAATAAATGAAATAAGTACACTTTTCCAACAGGATTCTGCTCTTTTTTTTTTTTCTTTTAATGGTTCACAGTAAAACATACCATCATATTTTATACATCTCATCAGACTCTACACAGTGCACAGGATTTTTTTCCCCAGTTAAAGCAGCTGTTCTTGAATGTTTCTCCTTAAACATTTATTTTACCCTTCTTCCACGTCTTCTCACAGCAATTACAATGGAAAACTTTGTTTAAAGATTTAAAGGCATGCAGAAACTCTCATTCCCAAAGTGATGTCTCTTATCTATACATTGTTTGGCAATTTCTTTTTGAATTCTTACAGTTTTTATCTTTGCTTTGCTAAAGGCTATGCAGCACGAGTCTTTCAGGATAACTGATAAATGAAAAGCTACAGAAGACATTGTATTTCACTGCATTTAACCTACCTGGCCCATTTGAAATATACATAATTGTAGATTGGTCAGATCTGATGAACTTGAAGTTCAGCACGCATTAGCATCTCAAGGACAGGCAAAATAAGAGCCGAATGAGAACAGCAGTTCCTGCCCACCATAACAGTACATTTTCACCTTTAGTAAAAATGGTCATTGTGAACGGTATCACGATATGATTAACTGTTATGTACTAGTTAGCTACTGCTGATTGGAGCTAGTTTTACAACAAATGCTTTTATCACATTCTTAGTGCTCTGAACCTCTTTCTTTGTTTTACTGAAAGTATCCAGACACCTGCTATCTACTTCATACCAAGTACTTCTTTCCTCACCTTAATGGTTTCCAAGCTGATGTTCAGTGTAAAGCAATACTAAGAAAAAAAAAGTGATAAAGAAGAATACAAAGTAACAAAACATCACACAGAAATTCTAGGTACATATAAATTATAACCTCCTTCATGGTGGTTATGTCTTAAGAATCCAAAATCCTTCAGAAAACCAATCGTCTTGCTGCTACCACTACCGAAAATGGAGAGAAACCAGCATGTATCTGATTACTTGTTTTCTACAGAAAAAAATGCATAGAACATATCCTTCCTCAAAAAAAAAAAAAAAAAAAAACAAAAAAAACAACCCACATAAAAAGACTTTCAAGGTTTGATGTTGTTGCTTTCCTCCCCATAGCACTTGCATATTATGCCAGCATAACAAGTGAACTTTTATTTTTAAAGAAGCAGAAAAATATGACAATGCCTTTATTCCTTCTTCCTCTTACCTTTTTTTTTTTTTTTTTTTTTTTTTTTTGCCTCTCATACTACGTGAGCAACAAGCAATCCACATTCCATGACTGCATGGAAAGGATGAGACTCCTATATTTACCATAGATTCCCCAGGCTTGGTATGTTGGCAGGACAACTGATTTGTTTGGAATGAAGCTGTCTCTATTGCAAACCAAATTTTAAACTGCATGTATTCTATGCTTGTATTTGCCCCAGCCCCAAAGAAAGTACAAGGTTACTTTGGAATGCAGTCTGGAATAGACTGTATGAACAGGCCATTCCGGATAAATTCATCTGTATCACTGAACAATCTCATACACCAGTAGGAGAAACATGAAAATTATTTATTATTTGCATATAAATTACATAGTTTTGGATTTTGTGGCGTGGTTCCCTGTGTGATCTTGGGCCAGTTTCCGAACTTCTCTCTAAATCTCTGCTTCCTTGTTTGCAAAGCAAATTTAGTTATGCAGGATGGTGTGGGTGAGACTTAATTAACTTGTGTTTGTAAGGACCTTTCTGATCTTCAGACACCATGCAGAACAAGGAATACAAAAATCAATATAAGGCAGCACAAAACATGTAAACCCACAATCACACAATGTGCATTCTGCGTATCAGCTTCACACAGAAAATCTGTGCTAACATTTCTTTGTAGCAGCAGCAAAAATTACATTAACAAGGAGTATAAAACATGTATATTAAAATAAATAATTCACTTACTTCTTCCTTAGTTCCAGGTCTGAAACTGGAACACATCTTAGGCCAGCTCCCAATACCATGAGTGATGATGTCAGTAATACAGTTACTCTGAGACCTAAAATGAAAAAAATTTTACAGGTTAAGACAGCAATACTAAAGGTAAATAATTTTTTAAAAAGACAAAAATGTGTCTAAATATATACATTTGTATACAGACTCATTAATTCATGCATATTCTTTCAAATTATAAACACAGTTGCTGATATAAACTATAGATACGTAACAAAATCCTGTGTTATTTTCCATATTAATGCGCTAGAATTAAAAGCTTATTCCTGGCATAATACCATTCAGGAATGTACCTAAAACCTTACAGACATTCCAGGAAGTGAAAACTTACAACAGACATATCATTCAAATTGTACAACATTTCCTTTGCAATTAGAAGCATCAGGGAACATCCTCCAATGTGTAAAATCTAGGTAGGTCCAAAGAAACAAACTACATTTGTACATTCTCTTCCAGCCATTTAACAAAGACAGAGATAGCACTGTTACTGTTTTCTCTCATAACGCAAATACCACTTTTAATTCTGAATAAATATCTATTTATTCAGTGGAAGAGGGGAAAAAAAAAAAAAGTATGTTTTGCAGTCTTTGCAATTAGGCCAAGTTTTTACTGCAGTCTGTTCAAATTAAAGAGGCTGTAAATATAGAACATTAGAAAAAAGCTACAACCGACTGATTCCTTGAATATGTTTTTCTTCCCCTTATCCCATGATTCTTAAGCGAAGAGCACTTAGGTTAGAAATAACTTTATGTCAGTGCTGCAATTCTGTTTGCCAATAGTTTACTGCTGCTACTGAGATGTTTCCATCATCTCAATAAACAGAAAGAAAACTTAACTGTGGAGCTGAGCCTCCAGAATACTGGGAAACACCAAGAGTAAATTTGTACAATTAAAAGGGTTGATACAATCTTTATTTATAAAGTCATCACAAGCAGGCAGAAAATACAGGGATCCCATATTCTTAGCAGAACGTAAAATAATTGAATGTTAACAAATACACAGCATCTCTAGCATTTAGGCAAGACTAGGAGCTATCCAAAACAGACAGAAGAACAACTTGCTATGATGATCCACATAATACAGACATATGATTACGACTCTAAAGTGCCAATTTTCAGAGATACGCTCCCAGTATGTGAATGACTCTATACTCCATACAACTCATCCAATAGTCACATTAAACATATTGTTCTCCTGCAAATTTTACTGAGTTTTAGGGCATGTATTTTACCAAAAATGCAACTTTGCTCTCATTGCAACAGCTCTTAGCAAATCTCACTCAGCATTACACAACTCCTTGTATGGACACAGCACAAACCACGGACAGCTCCTCACTCACACAACCCAAGCAAGGCAATCAAAACAACACAAAGAGAATCTGAAACGGAAGCATATCTTCTTCATTGGGACAGCTGAGTCATTAAGGACAGGAACATGACCCATGTTCCTGCAACAAGGACAGCTCACACCCCTAATGCATCAGCAATGCACTGCAGGCCCTGAATACTTGTTTCCTTGAAGGTTCCCCAGTGCCTGCCCACACTTACTTGACTCTATGTTTAGCCAGCACACGCTGCTGTTAAACTGGATTTTCAGGTGTGCGTGTCCAGAGAGCCCTAACTAATGCCCTGATAGTAGGCTGCTAAATTCCTGTTGCTCTTTGTGTTTTCTGTGAGCTTCCAATGCACACGTAAACCTGTACTGCCATGTTGGATACCTTGTGGGGGTAGTTACTTGTATCAGGATCACATACACAATGCTTTTGGCTTTTTTCCTTTGGAATGAATCTTTGTTAGCAATGATTTTGTACATATTGAGAACTTGTATGCAATCCAAATTAGAGTTTTATTGATTGAAAGTCAAAATACAAATCCTTTGAATCAAGAAGTCTGAAGTCTTCTATTTGGAAATGCTGCCACAGTGTTTCAAGAAAGCCCTAGCAATATATGCATCACATCCTTATTTTCCATGTAATCCAGGATCTTTTTGAATTACTGCTGGCAAAGTGTGCCACTTTCTGCCTTTGAGGAGGGGCAAGGAAAAGACAGCAGGTGACACAGCCCGGGTGCAACTCAGGGCACAGCAGTAGATAAACATTATCATAGGTTTACATCACCCGATTAGTTACAGGTCACGTACAGAGTTTTTCCTCAGTCAAAAACATCTATTTGTTTTTTCCATTAAAAAAACAAAAAAAAAAAAGTTTTCTATCTGCAGAGAAGTTTGATTAAAAAAAAAAAAAAACACACACACAACACAAAACTCAACAGCACACCATTCAGTGAAAAATAAATTGGATGTCACAATTTCCCACCGGCGCTGACTCTAGGCTTATCTTTAATGTCAACCGTAGATGTCATGTAATTTTAAAATAAAATTACCAGGTAGAGCCTCAAAATCAAGATACGTTTCATCTTCGCAAATGTTCTTTCAAGTCCTCATCTTGAATTCTATACACTGTAATGTGTCACTTTCAGTGTTTTGATCGTGCAGATTATTCTTTGGCCCTTTGTTTCACCTTAACATGCAGATACATCTAAAAATTCCTCTGGTTAAAGAAGCATGTTGACAATGATAATACAAAAATGAAGAAGTAAAAAATGACTGTCACAGAAGCAGTGTATTAGGCATTTCCTTTGCTAATTACATGATGATTTCTACCCTCCAAGTGCCTTCCCCATTTATTCTGCTTTACATTTTAACTCTCTGAATACAACTTCTATCTTATCCTAGGAATCAGTCTTTAATCGTAGGTTTAGAACTATAAGTAATTTTGCTTTGAACACAGCAGTGGCACTCAATCTGAGATGGAAATGTTGTGTTACTCCAAAAGGCAACCAGCAAGGGTTTGGGGAGAGCAATGAGCACTATGGGACCAGTGACCCAAGCAAGCTTGGAAAGAAAGCCCACCAACCCTGCAAGAAATTATTTCTCCACTTTAAAAGACCTAAGAACCTCACACAATCAAGATTTTTAGTGGACCTAATTAACTTTACTAGTCTGACTCTGTAAATGCAACTGCTAATGGATGGTGACAGGCTACAGCTTCTTAATATCTATCATCCAGTTTCCAATCCCCTCCAATCACAGATTTGACATGCAGCTGGAAAAAGAAGAAACTTCTCAAAAATGGGTTTTCTCTGCAGAGTGAAATGCCACTACTGGTAACAGAAAGCCTGTAGCAAAAATGGTGCCAGTGATAAAAAACTCATATAAATTGGTATTTGAGTGAAATAATCAATACTGTTTAACTACTTAACCATCCTGCAGCTAATAACAGTCTGCTTTGCAAGACTGTTGAAGACACTGAATTTCCTGGCTTTTATAATAGCCATAATAGATAACATAGGGATGCTGCATCTTCCACTACTTTTCCAGCACGTTTTATTTTCAAGATACATTTTAAGGTAAATGAAAATGCATCTCTTCCCACACTGCATTATTGACATGGATCTCAGCAAACGATTTGCTATGCCCAGTATAGTATAGTTTAGTATAGTTAATAGTTAATATAGCTTTAGTAAGAAACTTCATTAGAGACATTGCATAGCTACAAGCTTCTCATGCTAGCTGTAAATTAGCAGTTTGTCATTCAGAAAAAGAACACTATTAACGACTGTTAATTGCCTTTTGAGAAGTATGACCATTCCTTCTCACGCCTGTCACCCACTGCAATAACATGCCATAAAAATGAGACTGGCAGACTGTAAAAAACCAAACCCGCCTCACAAAAAACACGCACTCAAGTCAAAACTGAGGAAGTTTCTACTTCTGCTGTCCCACAGCAGCAGATACCTCATACATCCTCACCCTGAGTTGGTTAGCACTATGCAGCCAGAGAGAACAGAACTCTTAGTGGACAGCAGCACACAAATGGCAGCCACCGTCTGCCTCCTTTTCCCCTTTTTTAATGGAACATCATCCACCTTGGGGAAAAAACCCAGTTAGGTGTGTAGAACAGGTTTCACCTTTTTGCCAAGCCTAATGAAAGCCAGAGGAAACCTGCAGAATTCAACCCAGCTTGGCTGAAGTGGATTCCTCTTACACCCACGTCTCAAACACATTAACATGTAAGAGTTTTCCTTCCTTCAGCTGCAGACACTAAAATCAATCCTCAAGAAAACAGAATACAGTGACACTCAATTACAAGCTAGAGACATCAGCCCACTGCACATTTCTACAGTTTTTAAAGATCAGGCTGGAAGCAAGAGGGATCCATCCTTACACAACTTGCAGCACTTTAATTCCCTCAGGTGCTCTGCTATTGTTCTGGCTGAAGCATAGCAACCTAAAAAGACAATTCTGCCTTGATGAACACATATCAAGAAATGAACAACTCACCAATTTCAAATGCCATTCCAGAAATTCATTGTTAAATTGGACTTTTCCCTTCAATTTAAAGCAAATTCAGTTTTCAAACAAATTCCTGCTTTGCCTTTCTTAATGGAAAAAAAAAAAAAAAAAAAAAAAGCAGCAAGAGATCTTGCATTTTTCCCATCTATGAATTTAACATACATGGAGTTTCTTTTACCTTCAGTTTCAGCAAGCAAAGCACTGAGCTCCACTTTTTCAAGATGTTTCTTCGGTCCTGGAACTGTTTTTGTACACCTTGTTCAGACAGCTTCCTCATTGTTCAAGCATCCTCTTTAAGATGTGAGCATTTTCTCCTTGAATACTAGTGCTTCATTCTGCAGGAAGGGTCTGTTTCTTTTCCTCCTTAATGTGTGGCTCATGTGTTTATCCACATTAAAACAAAGTTGGGTTAAGCTGCTCACTTCATCAGGCAATTCTGAAAGCTCTGCACAGAACTCCCTGCTTCACGTTCATCTACTGCTCCAGAAATTTCTGCATTTTAAATGACATTCCAGCAGAATTACACCAACTGCTGTACCACTTACTCTCACAAGGTTATTACTATCAATTTTAATCACGCCAAAGGTAATAATAAAGGGTACCTTGCCGCTAAATACAGTGAACAAAACTTCTGTTGTGCTTGCACTTCACCAGACTGAGTAATGTCAATGGGGATGATCAGCTGCAATCCTC